CAAACCCCTGCTGAAGAAATTTGCCAAGAAAACCTTGTGATAGGGTTAACATTAGAAACAACTTGAAGGCACACAACAGCAGCAGCAGCAACAACAGTTTCACCTTATTTCACCTGACAGCCCTACTAGGTGCAGATTGGAAGTAGTTTCCCCATCTCTCTCTGCAAAGTGCGCAAGGCCCTATGTTGCTTTTAATGCAGTGGCTGGAATCCTGCTGGTGACCTAAATCTGTGCATGCATATCTTTATGTGGGCCTTGTGCATCATCCATCACCCTGGCAACTGTCAATCACAGAGGCACTGCCATGGCTGTTTGCCAGCTGGGAGAAGAGGAATGAGGCTCTCTCTTGGATGAGCTACCCACTAGAGATCCAAGAGAAATGCAGCTGGGGCAAGTGCTGCTTTGTCACTTCTCTCTCTCTCTCTCTCCTGGTCATAGTAATGCCCTCAGGGTTGGCAAGAGCCTTGTGTGGAGGAAGGTATGGAGGTGCCTGCGCAACATGCTGTGCTCCATGGGTCTCAACCAGTATTTCCCATATTCTATGAAAATATTACTATTCATGTGTCTGCAGTTTGGGTGGAATCCAAAGTATCTCATAATACATGCAGAAAAAATAGTTGGGTGAGTGCTTGAGAATCTTTAAACCACAAACCTAGGTTATAAGGATCTGAGTCTATTAATAGATTTTCCTCAATGACCAAAGTTAGAAAAGGAGACAAGATTCAGTTTTTTTCAGGGTACAATCCTAAATTGGCTTATTAAGAAGAGAACAACATTGAATACAGTGGGTCTGACTCCGGAGTAAGTGGAATGCTTGTAAGTCAAAATCCTACATTTAACAAGAAATTGCCTTAGGGATTTCCCCCCTCAAAAATTGTCCTCTTCTCTCTACCAGACTCCTGTTTAAGTTTGTTTTAATCATTTGAATCACTTGATAACCACACAACATTGGCCAGACTGATACCAGGAATTCAGCTATGAATGTCTATGTTAATAATACTTAGCAAAGTAGCTAAAAGAGCTCTCTGTTCAAAGACAGTGAAAAACCCATCTCCTAGCTCCATCCTATGGCATTCCATAGGATACAGCCATGGCATTTAATATGATATCAAACTGCTACAACTGTTGCAGTGTAGTTACACCCCTTCTGCTTCCGTTCAGTACATTCATATCACAGCTGCATTTCTTCTTCCAAAGATTTTAAATCCTCTGAAATAATAGCAGGGTCAGTTGTTGTTGTTGTTGTTTGTTTTCAAGTTGTTACTGACTTGATTTAATCATGGATTTTCTTGGCAAGATTTGTTCAGAAGAGGTTTGCCATTGCCTTCCCCTGAGGCTGAGAGCATTTGACTTGCCCAAGGTCACCCAGTGGGTTTCATGGCCAAGATGGAAATCAAGCCCTGGTCTACAGTCATAGTCCAATATTCAAACCACTACACCACGCAGGATCATTTACACTGCTGTAAAATTGGAAGGATACAGTGGATGGTTTGAAGCATGGCCTTAACAGAGAAACATGTCCTTAGGCTTATTCGCACTACACAATTATAGCACTTTCATTTCACTTATTGTTATGATGCTATATCCTGGATAGTATGGTGAGGCACTAGAGTTCTATGGCTGAGAATTATAAATGCCCCAAACTACCAGTCCCAGGATTCCATGGGATGTTGCCATGGCAGTTAAAGTGGGATTTTGTTGTTAACTGCCTTCGCGTTGGTCTTGACCCATGGCGACCCTATGGATGAGACATC